GATTTGACGAACCGGTTCTACCGAATAGGTGCGAACTGGTAGGAACCCACCTCTGAAGCTCCTGCTCTAAAAAATGATAATTAAATGTCAAGGTGCTGTCCTTTCCTCTTTGTAACGTGTAATTAAATATATTGCATGCCCTGATTTTGTGCATTTTCCCTAATCTTATTGATAATAAGAGTATGAATACTATAGAGAGAACGGAAAGGTATTTTAGAACGATTGGGAGATGTGAGACTGTATCATCAAAAAATCATTTTGGAGGAAATATAAATTTCTCTCTAGAACCAAACTATCAACCCACCTTTCCAAATCTGAAATAACGTGATTAGTTAAGTGTCAATTAACAGATGTGAAATGTTTGAACAAAGGATCCAAATATAGAGTCTTGTCCCCATCAGTCTGCTCGAAAAAAATGACAAAAAGCACTGGAATTTTACTTCAAAGGATGAAATAAAACATTGTCGCCTGGTTTATAGATCAAGCCTTGTTTAATTGTGGTTGTTGAACAATTCATAATGCCTAGCTGTAGATCACATGCTCTGCAAAGCCAATATCAAATCGCATTACTCCTTAGTAAGATGTGTGAACTAGGTCAATTGCTAGGAAATATTTAAATAAGAGAGAGCAAGGTAACATTTGGTGCAATTAAAAGTGCAAATTTTAACCTAGTATGAAATATTTATTTGTAATGCTTATTTATTATTAAACTTCTATGGCACCCAACTCCAGGCAGCTTACAGTTATACAATAAAAAACCCTCTTCCCTAAACACTTCCCTAAAAAAACTATATTGAAAAGCTACATCAATTCCAATGTTATTGCCCTTCTGGAAGCAAGACAAAACAGACCTATTCCAGAGGGCTTTTAAAATTTAATTTATTGAAAGAACACCATAAATATGCTTTATAATATTCTTTGTAATGGTTGTTTTATTATATTTTAGGTACTGTATGCTTATACATTTTGTAATTATCTTTGTGCAACATGGAGAATCATTTGATTGTGATGTCTTAGAAATTAAATCAGTTCAACAATCAGTCAGTACTGAGTGGGTACCAAGGCGATATGGACTTTAAGCTAATTGCATAGGACTCAAATACAACTCCCAAGAATGGGTTCAACTCCTTTTTGTGTTTCATTTTCTTTCTGTCAGGCAAAGATAACAATTTTTTTTTTAAAAAAAAAAAACAAAGTTAGCCTGTACAAAAGCAATTTAATAAAAATGCCCCCTTGATTTAATAGTTAAATAAATTTGAATTGTAAGGGAAAGAACTAGAATTCACATGTGGACAATTTATAATTGGAATAATTTGATCAGACCAGCTGAAAACTTAAACAATGTTTTAATTATTTAAATTATGAAATATGTACTGCACTTTATGCTTATGTACACAATTAAAACCGTGACCCGACAAATGCGCGCCCGACAAGAGCGCGCCGACAAAACCGCAGCGATAAAACCGCGACGTTGACAGCACGCCCACAAAGGCGCGCTGACAAAAGAGCGCCGACAGAAGCGCGCTTATGCTTAAGGGTTAGGGTTAGGGTTAGGGTTACCTTTAGGGTTAGGTTTAGAGCGTGCTTCTGTCGGCGCGCTGTTGTCTTCGCGCTTCTGTGCTCATTCGTCGGCGCGATTTCGAACTTGCAGTTTTCTCCCCGCGGTTTCTTCGGGGCGCTTTTGTCGAGCGCGCATTTGTCGGTGAACCATTAAAACTACAGATCATCATACAATAAAAAGGGGAAACTAAGAAGCTTAGTGAACTATTTCTCATCAGAAAATATGATGAGAAACAAAAAAAGTTTTGTTTTTGTTGCTCATTTCTTTTAACATTCTACTGAATCAATATTTCTAATCATATGTACGTTTTTCAAGTTATTGTCAAAGTCATCTATGACGAGAATCACCCAGTACAATTCTTCATTCCTTGATAACAATCCACCAGTTGATTTTTAACCTTCAACTCCCCATCCCTACACTGTCTTAGCCTTATTTATATAAAGTCTGGGCATGGGCAACACAGAAATGAAATGAAATGAAGATTTGAGTTCTGAGATGTTCTTATTGTCAAAGTTTCCACTTGTATTTTTAGCTATAAACAACTATAACTGTAACTATAACAACTAATGTATTAATTGTAAGGTATCTGTGGTTAAATTAAAGAAACAAACTCTTCACCTCTGAAAGCTCCCTTGAACTTAGGAGGAGAGGTTGGATAGAAATCAATTCAACTGTTTGTTTAGATATTAACAGGTGAAGATTGGAATGAAGTGATGTACAATGGAATTCGCTCTCAAGGTGGTGTCAGCTCGGGAATGTGGTCATCCATCTACTTCATAGTCCTCACATTGTTTGGGAATTGTATCCTTCTTAATGTACTGTTTTGAAATATGTTATAACATTTGACTGTAGAAAGTAGTAATGGGAGCACTTCTGTCAAAATCTGTAAGACTTACCATTAGGGTATCTCCACACTTAATTGATTCTATGCCACTATGTTCCCACATTATGTCAGTTGCGCCCCTTCCTGGATCGGGATGCTCTGTGCACAGTCACTCATGCCCTCGTCCTTTCTCGCCTGGACTACTGTAACGCTCTCTACATGGGGCTGCCCTTGAAGAGCACCCGGAGGCTTCAACTGGTCCAGAATGCGGCTGCGCGGGTTATCATGGGGGCACCTAGGTGCTCCCATGTTACACCCCTTTTAGGCGGCCTACACTGGTTGCCAGTTGTCTTCCGGGTGCAATTCAAGGTACTAATTATGACTTTAAAGCGCTCCATGGCTTAGGCCCAGGGTACCTGCGAGACCACCTACTGCCACCGGTAGCCTCCCACCGTCCAGTGTGATCCCACAGAGTTGGCCTCCTCAGGGTGCCGTCGGCCAGACAGTGTCGGCTAGCGACCCCCAGGGGGAGAGCCTTCTCTGCGGGAGCGCCTTCCCTCTGGAATGAGTTGCCCCCGGAGCTTCGTATAATCCCCGACCTCCGGTCCTTCCGACGTGCCCTAAAAAGTTGACTTTTCCAGCAAGCCAGCCTGGCCTGAACAAAACAAAATAAATTATTGATCATTGTTAATTTTAATTCAAATTTTAAAAAAAATGTTATTGTCAATTCTAATTGGGTTTGTTTGGGATATCCTATTTAATTTCTTTTTAACTTTTGTATTATGTGTTTCTTTTAATGTTGTACGCCGCCCTGAGTCCTTGGGAGAAGGGCAGCATATAAATCTAATAAACCAAACCAAACCAACTATCATCTCCGTTCAGCAGACTTCCAATTTCAGTACTCAATATTTTTTTATAGTTGAAGTATTAGCACCCCATGCAACTTGAGAGCTCTGTCTCTTGGCTTCTAGGGTCTTCCTACTCTCCTCAAGAAATTACATTACTATACATCAGTGGTTCCCAAACTTGGCAACTTTAAGACTTGTGGACTTAAAGCAGAGCTGGCTGGAGAATTCTGGGAGTTGAAGTCCACAAGTCTTAAAGTTGCCAAGTTTGGGAACCACTGCTATGCATCAAACGAGTGCCTCACAGTTGGTTTTGATAGGTCAGCATGTTACTTAACCCTTCATCATTTAAAAAGCATTAGACTCAATACTTGGATGGAGAAGTGGGACAATGGTCGGATTATCTTTTATTGGCCAACTAACTTCCATGATTTTCTCCAAGTTTCAAGGTTGTCACAGTGAGGACACATGCAACTAATTTTAGGCTGTTTCACAGGGTTTGGAAGGTAAAGAGATGGCACGTTCATTTTTGTACCTCTGGGCTTAAAAATCAGTGGGACATCACTCTTTTTCCTTACGCCATTTTTTGATTGAAATTTCTATCCACGTTCTATTTTCTTTTCCCCCATTAAATTATTGTTTAGACATGGTTTAGATTAGAAATCTGAAACCCTTCCTACTTGAATAATTAGTAAATGGCAGGTTGATTCTGTATTATTTCCATCTAGCTGCTTTAATGAGAAGTTTCATTCACCCCTCAACTATTCTAGATACCCTACTTAATGTATTCTTGGCCATCGCTGTGGACAACCTAGCCAATGCACAGGAACTGACAAAGGTAAGAAAACGTTGTAGCATTAACAATCTACTGTATCTTAATAATAAAGAAGTCGATGTATTCTTAATCACGATTGTATCATTTTGATAAGATGTAGTTTCAAACCTGATTTATCAAACTTACATTTTAAGGAGGCGGAATGTCAAGAGCTTAAACTTGGCATGTGGAGCGTTAATATAAAACAAAGGATCTTTTTCAGTCAATGCAAGGAGCTTTTTTATCAGTATAGCAATAGCAATAGTAGTTAGTTTCAGTTTCAGTTTCAGTTTATTGTATTTGTATGCCACCCTTTCCCCCCGAAGGGGGACTCAGGGCGGCTCACAACTCGAACCGGGGAAGGGGGGATACAGACAAAAATTTAAAAAACAAACATAACAATATATAATTTAAAACTCACAACAGTCATACCATTTGAGACGGGGACAACAGCTCTTTAGCCCCAGCTAAAGAGGGCTTTCAGCCCTCTCTAAGCGGTTTACAGAGTCAGCATATCGCCCCCAACAATCTGGGTCCACATTTCACCCACCTCGGAAGGATGGAAGGCTGAGTGAGATTTGAGGCGGTGAGATTTGAACCGCCAAACTGCAGATAGCAGTCAGCTGAAGTGGCCTGCAGTACTGCACTCTAACCACTGCGCCACCTCGGCGCAGTATTAAGGAGTCTTATTCTGCTCAAGCATATTTGGAATTTAGTTTAGTAATAATGACTTTAAGAATTACAGAATAGCAGAGTTGGAAGGGATCTTGAAGGCCTTCTAGCTTAATCCCCTGCTCAGACAGAACATCCTATACCGTTTCAGATAAATGGTTGTTCAACCTTTTCTTAAAAATCTCCAATGTTGGAGCACTCACAATTGCTGGAGGCAAGTTGTGCCATTGATTAACTGTTCTAACTGTCAGGAAATTTCTCCTTAGTTCTAGATTGTTTCTCTCCTAGATTAATTTCCATTCATTGCCCTGTCTTCAGATGTGTTCTTTTTATTTCACATAGAAAATTTTTATTTTCCATTTTCATAGCATATAATCACATGTATACTATTACATAGTCAATATCATGTTGTATTATTAAGTAATTACATCAATTCATCTTACCATCAACTACCAAAGGGGGAAAAAAACCAGTTATTGGCTCTTCTGCTCTCCATACATCATATTTATACCTTATATGACACTTTCTTCCCCCTCTCTCCTCCCCCTTTCTACATCCTTTCCTCCCTCCATCATTTTCTACTCTACTTCTCCTTCCTTTCTCCTTCTCCTCTCTCCCCTTACCACTCCTCCTTGTACACCTCATCTTCCCCCCCTCACCCTCTCTCCTGTCCCTCTCTTCCTATCTTTCTTCTCTCCTCTGCTTCCCACTCTTCTACATCCTGTCTTCCCTCCATCATTTTCTACTCTACTTCCCCTTCCTTTCTCCTTCTCCTCTCTCCCCTTACCACTCTTCCTTGTACACCTCATCTTCCCCCCTCACCCTCTCTCCTGTCCCTCTCTTCCTATCTTTCTTCTCTCCTCTGCTTCCCACTCTTCTACATCCTGTCTTCCCTCCATCATTTTCTACTCTACTTCCCCTTCCTTTCTCCTTCTCCTCTCTCCCCTTACCACTCCTCCTTGTACACCTCATCTTCCCCCCTCACCCTCTCTCCTGTCCCTCTCTTCCTATCTTTCTTCTCTCCTCTGCTTCCCACTCTTCTACATCCTGTCTTCCCTCCATCATTTTCTACTCTACTTCCCCTTCCTTTCTCCTTCTCCTCTCTCCCCTTACCACTCCTCCTTGTACACCTCGTCTTCCCCCCTCACCCTCTCTCCTGTCCCTCTCTTCCTATCTTTCTTCTCTCCTTTGCTTCCCACTCTTCCTCTCATTCACTTGGTGTATTTCAGCTTCTGAGCAAACTCCCTTTTGTGTTGATGGTATTTATAATTCCATTTCAATATACATAAAAAAGAAAAAATAGCAGTATACATGTACAATCATATTACCTTAAAATCCAACACCCCTCCTCCAACTTACTAAACTCCGCTCCCTCCCCCCAATCCCCCCAATCTCCCCCCCCTGACTTCCCAGAACCAATCCAAGGTATAAATCTTTAACAAAAACAGTTTAAAATATACTTAAAGAGAAAGTAGAAAATTAATAACGTCTTTGAATTGAGCTTAGCTCCTCCCTGTCCTGTCTTCAGGTGTTTTGAAGAATAAGTTGACCCTCTTTTCTAGAAGAGGGAGAAGACATCACTTCTCCTGGCTTTTCATCCTTCTGTAGTAGTTATCACCTTAACAGATTTCAAAACAATAAAAATAGTCCAATTAAAAGAAGAGAATTGTGCAATAAAGAGGCAAGCAAAAAATGAGAGAGTAAGAAATGCTAATTAAATTGGCAACAAAAAATGTTTTAAACTTCTCAAGGACAGGTACCCATCACAAATGAGACCATATCTTTAGAATCTGCCTTCTCACTTTCTTAAAGTCCTATTAATTATTATTTTCTCCACTGATTTTATTTGAAAAGCTTTTGCCAGTTTCTTCCATAAATAGGCAAAACCTCTTTTCAGTTCAGCTAGGCTTACATTCTTCCCATTCAGATTACTTAGTTGACAGATAGAATCATTATTTCCCATTAGTCATCAGAGTTTATTATAGTTATCTCTTTAATAGCTCAGTATCACAAATCTCACTCATTTTTCTCCAGTTTGCCTGTTGATACTTGTGCAATTATTAAATTACAGTTATAAATTGGAATCATGCCTAGATGAGTTTCACTAGAAATTGTGTGCTTATGATCCATGTTATTAGAAAATACGTAGTGAGTCAGTTAAGAAACTGTGACCACTGCTGCTTTCATAATGATGTTTTGGTAGAAATAGAAATAGACCATGTCATAACTCTAATTTCTAGTCCAGTTGCATTAATCATTTGTAGTATATGGATGTTAAGCAGACCTTCTATTACAGAAAAATCTCTGTCACAGTCAATAGGAATGAGACAGAACGTAATAATCTATTTTTTTTTTAATTTCCCTCTGGGGTCAGATAAATATGCATCTCTAAATGTGTATAAGTAATTCATTAAAATATTATTTATTATCCCTGTTTATTATTCAAATTTATACTCCACCACAGTGAATCAGTAAATATTTAAAACTGTAAAAAAAAGGATAAAGTAAACATCTTTAAAAGAAGATTGGATAGCCATTTGTCTGCAATAAGGCAGGGGGTTGGACTAGAAGACCTCCAAGGTCCATTCCGGTCTTATGATTCTCTGATTTAGTGATTTAAGTGAGGGGGGAAAGGAAGGAGAGAAGGAGAAAAGAAAGGAGAGAAGGAAGGAAGGAGGGAAGGAAG